CTCCATCCATTACTTCCACCAACTCTTCTATGCTTTCTGTTATACTTAACGAATAACATATGTGAAGCAGATCACTAATGAAAAATCAAGACATCACCAACGTTAAAATTTTTAAATTTTGCATATTCATACCAACCATTTCCATGATACATCTCAGTATGTGTTTTTTTTAATCTCGAATTCAAAAGCATATTGCATTTATTATTATATTAAATAAACCAAATAAATCAAAAGACAAAGTTATATATCTAAGTTTGTCAATTTAGCTGCAAAGTGCATTGAAAAAATGATAGTAGACTTGCAACTATTGTCCGGTCAAAGTAACGCTTCATCTACTTTTAATGTCAGGAACAAATAATACAATATCAAAATATATAGAAAAATGTTTAATATTTTTATTGAAAAATGATAGCATAACTTGATTTTTTAACATTTAATAAAAAATAGTTTCTTTATTGTATTTCGAGCAAAGTCAACAAAATATGAAATAAATATAAAATAAATATTATATAGTTGTGTTTAAAAAATATATATTATAAAAAATGTTTGAAAAATAGTTAAATTGATGTTTAAAAAATATATATAGAAGATATACGAATTAAGTAGTCTCGGCCCGTTGAAAAGGTATATTTTTAGTAGAGAAATAAATAATTTAATTAAATAGTCGTCTACCTGTGCATAGGGATGACAATGAGCAGGGTTTAGGTAAGGTGCCATAATACCCGTCCCCAACTCGCAATTTGAAAAAAATTTCATACCTGAACATATACCCACGTGTGCACCAATGTTTGTACCCGTACTTGTACTCTATGGGTATCTAAGTGTACATACCCGTTTACCCGCATTTTTAATAAAAAATAATCGATCAATTATAATTTAACATATCATTTTAATTTTTTTAACAATATTTTAAAAAAACTGAGGATGTTATTGTTGAGATAAAAAATAATCAAACATTTATATTAAAATGCGTAGAAATTTAATAGTGATGTATTTAATAAAATTGTTAGATTAACATGTATACATAATAATAAAAATAAAAATAAATAAAAATATATAGTGCGAGTATGAGGGCGGATTGGGTACTAAGGTACTTGTACTAACACTCATAACTCGCTTATTTTAGTAGGTAATTGTCCGTGTCTGTGCGCACTTTGCGGGTTATTACCCTACCTGTCGTGGATAATTTTTGCGGGTATCCAATGAGATGAGTACAATTTCCATCCATACCTCGCATTCTGCAGTACAAACAACTTCAGTTTTATCACCAACTCTGAATGATATCAAAAGCCAATTTGCATTCACTCAGTGTATAGACAATTATGTTGCTTCTTCTGATGCTGAGACTTTCAACTTCAGAGTCTATGTCAGACATCACTTAGCAAGTGTTCTTCAGATTCTGCGACCAGAAGTTACCAATTCAGCAACTCTTAAAGTGCGCTTAATGTAAAACAAATTCTAACTATAATATTTACAAGTATTAGAATTTGCACACATGTAACACACATCAAATAAACTAATGTTCTTTCAATACTTTGTTGTCATCAAAATTCAAGGAAATCATGTCATGAAAAAATCTAGTTCTAACAAAACCTCTTGACATGTCTTTTCTGCATGTTCAACATTCTTTTAAGATGGCAATGACTAAGTCTCTTGTGCCAGAGTTCTGTGGGACTGACTTAAGTGAAATAAACCATATGCTCTTCCATATGCTCTTTTCTATTGGATAAAATGAGAAACTTTTACCTCTTATTTTAACCCTTAGAATTTCACGGCCAACAATGTCCTAGATAAGACAATGTTGATGTTCAAAGAACACTTTAAATCTCTTTTTAATCAACTGATCTACACTTAGCAAGTTTTGGTCAACGCCAGATACATAAAGAACATCTGATATAATTTTGATACCTGAGCACGTTGAAATTACAATGGTTCATTTTCCTTTTGCAATAATATAACCATCATTCCCTATTATGACCTTTGAGACATTAGTGGGCTTCAAACCCTTGAATAGAGTCTTGTTATATGTCATGTGGTTCGTACAACCACTATCAATCAATAAGCAGTCAGAATTGCTCTTCGTCGAATAACATGTTACAACAAAAATATAATCTTTTTCATCTTGCTCAACAACTTGGGCATTGGCTTCATGCTGTTGTTGAAATTTGTTTCTACAAATTAAAGCTTCGTGTTCAAACTGATTGCACTTACTACACTTTGCGTCAGGTCGTTTCTAACATTTACGTGGTGGGTGACCCAATTTTCCGCAATGCTGACAAGGTGGGTAACTTTTCTTTTTACCTTTACCATTGTTTTGGTTGTAAGCACTATTTTCGCTGCTTGATGGTTGGTTCTTCTTGACATGCTTCTTTTTACTAATTTTCGCATGATGGTGCTTGGCTTGTAAAGCACCTTCGACTGCACCATCTTGTCTCATCAACCTTTGCTGCTCTTGGGACTACATAGCACTTGTAAAAGTTCTGCCAATATGATCTTTGAAAGATCCTTAGTATTTTTCAATGGAGTATTAGAATTTCAAAGTTGTCAGGAGCAGTCACCAGTATTTTCTCCAGTATTTTCTGAACTATTCATGAATCTGAAAGGTCAGAACCTAACAATCTCACCTTGTTAGCAATGTTAAAAAGTTTGTTTGCATACTCCTTGATTGTTTCAGACTCCTTCATTTTCTGCAACTCAAATTTTCTTACTAGATTCATTGTTTGCATTCCCTTGATTCTTTCATCTCCTTCATATTCATCCTTTAGGAAATTCTAGATTTCAAATGTTGATTTGTTCGTCATGATTCTAGTGAAAATGTGTTGTGAAACGGCAACAAACAAAGTGACTCTTGCCTTTGACTTTCTTGCTTTCTTCTCCTTGTGATTTCTTATCTGAGCCATAATTGGATTGTTTGGTAAAGGAAGAACTCCATAGTCTTCCTCAATGGCTTCCCAGAGGTCATTTGCTTTTAGGTGAGCTTCCCTTCTTGCTGCCCATATGCGATAATTATCACCATCAAATACAGGTGGTGCTAGTTTTGTGTAAGGCGTTTCAAAATCCATCTATTTGATGAATTGAAGAAAAGTTTATAAACTTTTTATGGTGGATTTTTTTATTGACGTCACTCACAAGTCCCTCTAAGAAGAAGGCTCTCGATACCAGTTTGTTAGTTTAATGGCTGAAATATGAACGCAGAGAGACAGGAAAATAGAGAAACCGATACGTGTTAGAGAAAAAATAAAATATTTCTATCTTATGATCAATCAATAACATTACAATAAATAATGGAAAGAAAAAAACTGAACTCCATCCCATGTAACAAGGATTGTAGGGAACCGAATAAAGCACTAGTTTTACTTCTAAAATATAACAACCACTACTAATTGTTGGACTTTCAACTAGGGAGCATTGAACATAGTGAGACTTTTTCTAGAGCAACCTTTGTGAGAGACACACCACATACTCACCCAAAACCTTAAGGTGATAGGTGTGTGGGTTCTCTTATTTATAAATGCTCAAGTCACCACATTTCTATCCAATGTGGGACTATTATCCACCCTACTCACACTTGTTAATACTTTAACTTTAACACTCTCCCTCAAGTGTGAGTCTATCCACAATGCTCTCCCTTAAGCGGAAACTTCAACTGTGCAACTGCACCCTTGTACCGCCGTTGACACTCTTCAACGAGACACTCAACCCACAACCTGTGGGGATACTTTCGATACAAGTAATTTGTTCCCTTTATTCGAACCAAAGGCTCAAGATACCACTGTTGGACTTTCAACTAGGGAGCATTGAACATAGTGGGACTTTTTCTAGAGCAACCTTTGTGAGAGACACACCACATACTCACCCAAAACCTTAAGGTGATAGGTGTGTGGGTTCTCTTATTTATAAATGCTCAAGTCACCACATTTCTATCCAATGTGAGACTATTATCCACCCTACACACACTTGTTAATACTTTAACTTTAACACTAATTAGTAGTGCTCCTAGTATAGAAACTACTAATTGACTAGGATGCTAAAAAATCTGAAACAGTAAAATAAACTAATAATAAATATCTGGCAGTTACAAAAGCACATGTTTAACAAAGAACAACCCCCAATTTGATAAATATTTTTTTAATACCCAAAACTCTGAATATGGTAGTGTGTTTATAAATGACTAGTTGAATATGATGTGTGGAAATAAATGATAAAAGATTCGTAATCCAATTGATTGACCCTGGCACTGTATTAAAAGTAAAATTTTAATCTAACTCAACTCTATAAAAATCGAACGTCTCTATAAATTTTATTCAAATTCATAATCAATGTGTGAGTTAGAATTTTTCTACTAATAAAGATTCAATTCAATAATTTTGTTGGTTTAGAAAGAAAAAAAGAAAAAACTTAAAATTATTATATTACAAAAACAGCAATATGTAATTGCTCCTTCTCATTTAAGTCATGTACCTGCAATCCCTCCCTTCACGACAAAGCTTTTACTTCAAGTTTAATTATAATGAAACCCCACAAACATAAAGTTTGTTGAGAATGACATAGGGCTCCACCACCACGGGATTACAAATGTGAACCAACCAGTTACTATGGTTGATAGCCTCCCCATGAATATCTTGCTCTATCTAGTAATGTTTCTTAGTCACTTGTCTTGCTTCCAATCTCAACCAACCACCTGCTACACACCAGGAGGCAGTACTATATTGTCGGTTTGAATTTCATCTGATAATAGAGTTACACTTCAGGAAGCACAGCGAAAATGTTTTTAAGGCTAAAAGGACATTATTATGGTTTTTAATGAGAATATGTACTCATACAAAAACATATACACGAAACACTTAAACAAAACAAAACAAAAAAGTGATTTTAAAAGAATAATAAATAAATCTCTACAAAATGAAATCTTTACACAGATGGAAATGTGACCTATAAGGTACATTGACCATAAGCTAATACCAGGAAACTTGGACGAATAAAAGGTACTATGAGACCTGTTATGGATTGATGTTGCATTCTCTCAAATACACAATATTATAATCAACATATTTCGACCAATAACCACGAAATTTCGGAATACTTATCTCAAGCCACGGTTTCATGTTTCCGTTATAGTGTATTACAGCTGCCCTTTCAATATCTTTTAGGTTGACATTGGGGTTGTAGCCAAGACCTAAGACGTGCCAAGATCGGTTCAGCGGAAAAGTGCGTTTCCAAAATGTTATAAGACCGGGTGGCAGGGTTCCTAACTTCCATAGTTGTCTATTATGATTCTGTAGTCAGATTAATTAGAGAAGAAAAATCGTTAAGATTAAAGAGAGCAATGAAAATTGAAAAGAAACGAGACAAGTTAACAGTATATGCATTTTGCTCAATTTTGTGATGTTTTTGAGAAGTAAACTGAAATGTGCTTACCAGCTTCTGCCAGTTATGGTACACCTCTGTGATGTTTTGCTTCTTCCATTCGACTAGATCAAAAACATTCATACCATATGCCCATCCACAAGCACGGGGGTCGAAATTCTTTGCAATTAGAGGATTTGAGAAGTTGAGGTAACGATCAAACCGATGAAAACTTTCTGTACAAGTTTCGACAGCACCATTTACGTTTCCCTTCAAATTAATTGACCAAAGACCAGTAAGATCCTTCTGCACAATTACATCGTCATCCAAAAACAGCACTTTCTTGAGGTTTGGAAATATTTCAGGCAAGTAGAAGCGGAGGTGATTCAACATTGATAAATACTTAGGATTCCGAAACTTGAGGTTTGAATCAGAAGAAGCACGGTGAGCCCTAAAGTAATAATCTATCATTGAAGGAGAACTTAACTGCTTAAGAACTGGACTGTAACTCGAATTCAACCATGCAAAATCTTCAATGTTTTGAACTTGAACTGCCGCCTTCCCAGGTGGATTTGCCAAAAACCACATCCTCATTGCAGCATAATTGAGCCTATCAGTTACAATGTGGAAAACATGTTTGGAGGAGTTCTGAAAGAAAAGTACCACCATTATATTGTAACAGATTAGTTTTCTTTTCATTTTTATCCATCACTACCTCTAGGGACAAATAAAATGAAAACAGATTAGTTTGTTAGAACTTTGTGAGAATAGCAATTTAACTGCAAAGATATACATCAAATTTTGTTTGGTGTTCAGTTTCATAATCCTGTCGAATAAAAACAATTCAGGAAATCTCCACGTGAAAATAACTTACCTTAGCATGGGCAGCAGTAGAATTCACAACAACAGCTGTTGCCAATATGTTATCTGAGAATATTGCATAATGGTATAGCCCAGGGTCCTCTAGCTTCTCTTGATTGGGGAATTGTTGCTGAGAAGAGTTCAAGCTATAGTATTCAGTTGTAAGGCGCAACGGAAGACAGTGGAGACCTTTAGGCAGTGTTTTGGCTGTCAACTGTGTTAAGAACAAGGTTTGTTTCTTGTGCACGCGAAGCTGGTCCTCTGATGAGTGGAGCATAGCCCTAAGCTTCTTCACAGATGTGGTACAATCATCTTGAATTTGCCTTGCTTTCATCAATGATTGCTCCATTGCGTTCATTCTCTCATTTGCACTGCATTAGTAGAACTACAAATGTAAGTTTAAACTGAATAAAATGTAGATCACTGCAGACCTGAACTATTCAATATATTTATGTTGCTTTCGAAAAAAAGCTAAATATGAAATAACTAACTTAATAACTATAACAAAATTGGAAAGCCTGGTGACATGTACCCATAACATCCATTCTTAAAAGCTCACTTACTTCCTTGGCAAGTTGGAATCTTGGCTTGCCTCTCCAATTGTTCGTGAAACTTCCTTTACCCGTAGCCGAAGCTCCCGAGTGAGATGGGGAATGTTCCTAACTGCCTGAAGGGAAAGATAAACTTTAGCTTGGATGAGCTGATCCTTTAGTTTCCGTACCCGAGCATCAGGCGGTGTATCGTCACTATGCTTGATATTGTTTACTTTGCTAGAAGATTCAATATGCTGTTTCCCTTGCTTAGTAAGCTGAAAGAAGATGCACCAAATTTAAAGAAGAAACTTTGAATCAGCATTGTGGTTGGTTTTTCTTCATTACATTAATGTAATTTTCAGAGGCGTATGAAAAAAAAAGAATGTTGATGGCAACACTCATTTGTTATTTTTCCATGTTAACGGAGCTAGCCAGGTATGGAAGGAAATGACTGAAGTTATACATGTACGATCCTAAAACCATGACCATAGATAGAGTTCCAATAAAAGAAAATATAAAATTCACCAATAGATAGCTAGATATAACTTCTATTCTTTCTGATTGTTTCAAACTCAAATTCTTGAGACGGTACATAATACATATTCATCAAAGTCAAAACAATAAAGATTTGGAAGGAAAGATTGAACCCAACCAACATGCTTGTGTTGTATTTACACTGCCACGATAGTACCTATATAAAGTAACATTGTGTCACAAGTGCATACAAAGATGCATTCAGCCCTGCATTCATCATGGTGACACCATCTTCACATTAAGATTACTGTTTCACTAAGTCATCAACTTGGCTTGACAAAAGGACATTAAACACCAAAAGATGTTCTCAGTTCTTTCACAATTAAGAATAGTGTTTGAGATATCAATACAAAATGTCAGATTTTAAACTCATAATAGGAAACCAATTAAAGAAAGTATACTAAATACTATATTTGATAAATGATGCGCAGCACACCCTTAATGAACAAAGTAACAATCACAAGCAGAACACAAGGTAAATATGTCACTTACTATAACTTCAGATGCTTGATTAGAAGCATTAGATGATCTAGTAAGTTTCTCATCATTGTCTTCAGCATCAATAGCATCTTCACCATCTGTCACCAGTTTGATGGAGTTCTCCCCTTTAACTCGAACTTCCTCATTTGTAGCTGACAATACCCTGGATACTACACGTTCCCCTGATTTCATGAAGTACAAATCTAGGTCAACCCAGAGTTATTAATCCCATATAGGTGAGCGGAGCAGCCAACACCAAAAATGGGATCGCAGGATAACTTTTTGGACTAATTATATGAACAACCTACCTTATATTTAATGTAGATTAAATAGCTTTTTGGACTAATTATATGAAAAACAACAACTTGAAAACGAATAGAAAAACATGAATAGAGAAGAACAGGATAGAGAACAAAATAGAAAAGCAGAAAACAGAAGTAGAGAAGAAGAATAGAGAGAAACTTGAAGAAACGCGATGGGAAAAGGTGAAAACGCGAATGAGAGAGGAGAAAACACGAAGGACTATGGAGAAAACACGAACGACTATAATAAATTTTCCAATTTTAAAAAAGCCCTAAAAGCAGAAAACCGCTCTGGGCCGCGATCCAAAACTGGGATGTGTGCCGCTCCTCCTTAGCGGAGGGTTGCCGCATCGGGAGAGAATCCCAGGATAGCGCCTGGAGTGGCCGCTTTTAATAACTCTGGGTCAACCAAACAATTAGAATAGACAATAATTAAAAATACCAAAAACAGGATCCGATAAGAAAATGGGAGAGAAAATTTGTCAAGTATGTCTCATCGTTTGTTCATTGTTTGCTGTTTGTGTATATTGTTTCTTTACTCTCTAACAAAAATAATCAAACTAAAGAACATACCTCGAAGCAAATTGTTACTGTTTGAAGAGTTCTCTGAATATACAACCCCAATCGGTTCCTTAAGGATAGTAGAGGTCTCCTATTTTCAAAATAAGAAATTTCAACAAAAAAAGAATCATCAAGAATTTAGTTTAATTCATCAATACATGCAACTATCCATATAAATTTCTTCACTTTACTAAGAAATTTCACCTCAGGTAGCAAATTCAAATGGCTAGAGCCTACTCCACCGACAGCCTAACAAGAGAAATTCAACAAATTCAGAGATCTCAATCTGAAAAAATTACAAAAAATAAAAAATAAAAAATAACCTAAAAATATCATCAAAAATAAAAAAACTTACAAAAGTAGTTACATCTTCAACAAACTCCCGGTGAGCTGCAGAATACACATAAACAAAGAAATTAGATTATTTAAAAATGAAGAGATTGCAATTGAGTAATCAAATGATGAAAAACAGAAACACACCGGAGGAGTAATTGAAGGTTGTAAGACGATCAGTGTAAAGCAGAATCGGAGTAACAACAGTAATACAAAGCAACAAAATCACAATACTTCTGGTAGCCACCATTTCTACACAAACCAAAACCCTAAAAGTTTCAAATTACAGCACAATCCAACACTGCAATGTTCGGATTCAATTTCAGAGAAATGAACGGAATAAACCGACTTAATTACAAATCTGAGAATCGCAGAAAAGAGAACGCAATTTGAGGTGTGAAAGCATTGCGTATTCCAAAGCTCTCAGTAGTTATTAATTTGTTGTCACAAGTTTCAGAAGAAGATGATGAAATAATGGATAGCAGAAAATTTAATGGAAATTGATGAGAGTGTGTGAGTGACTGAGTGCGCGCGTGTGCAATGAGTTTTTGTCTCTCAATTAAGATTAATTAACAAACAGTATCCTTTAATAGTAATACGCGATTATTATTATTGAGTTTAATTAAACTGTCACTGTTTATAGTTATAACCTAGTTTAATTTTGGAAAACGCGTGCTTTAATCAGAGATGTTAAATTATTAAATATCCATAGATAGAAATATTGTTTAGTTAAGTGTGTATCCAATTTATAAAAAACAAGTTTTTTTTATGGTAATGTTTGGATTTTAATATCTATTATGTATATACTTAAGGCATAAGTTAAGATAAAGCTTTACTTTTTCATCAACGAGAATTGTTATAAATTAATTTATTATAAACACCTTTATTTATTCATTGTTTAATTCTGTAGGAAATATCGAACACTACTTCTGAAATTCAGTTTGGCTAGAGATTCAAAAAAGGTATTTGTTTAATGACTATACTTCTGTCACAAATTGAAAGGCTCATCTTGGTCTTTTATTTATATAACTCTATTATTGGTCCATGTGCTGTCAGCCTGTCAAATAATTTATGTTGCACTATTGTATAAATTAGTTCCAAGAACAATGGTTTTGGTCAGTGCATTTTTAACCCCCAGATACTTAAGTTCTTTTGACTGTGTATAAAATTACAACATGTATTTAGTCATCGTTGGATGGAGTGATGGTTTTACAATTGGGTTGATATTGTCTCAATAATAGTATTGGTTTATCAATATTGATACTCTCAATTTTCATCTAAGACCATCTGGTTTAGAAATAAAAGAAAGTTATAATTCCTTGCTGTTATATAATTTGAGCTAGACAATACCATAGGAACTGGTTTTTTTTTATAAAATTGGTCTTGGAGCCGATCCCAACGGCAGTCACTGTTGCAAGTATTCCACCATATGGGTTAATACCAGGTTTTGTACCTCCGCCACCAGTCAGTCAACAATCAGTCCCTCTAGGGGCAGAGATTCCCCGAGTTGTTCCGAGTTATACTCCAGCCTCTGTACAAACTCAAGTGCGCCCTATTTTTCACAGCCATCCACAAGTGTTTGAAGTTCCTGATGGGTCTGAAGAAGGAAGTGGACGACATGATAAATTGAAGGAGAGTGTAGAAACTATAGGGAGGAAGGTTAGAGCAATGGAAGGGAATGGTATCTTTGGTACTGATGCCAGAGATATGTGTTTAGTGTCTGGATTGGTAATCCCGCCAAAATTCAAAATCCCCAACTTTGATCAGTACACCGGTGCTACTTGTCCTCGAACACATTTGATCATGTATTACCGAAGAATGGTTGCACATGTAGAAGATGATAAACTAATGATCCATTGTTTCCAGGATAGCTTGAAGGGAGCCCCTGCTAAGTGGTATTTGAGCCTAGATCAATCTCGCATTCACAGTTTCCAAGACTTGGTCAATGCTTTCATGAAACATTACAAATACAATACGGATTTGGCCCCTGACAGAAGACAATTGCTGAGTATGACACAAAAGAGTTCCGAATCGTTCAAAGAGTATGCACAATGATGGAGGGAGACTGCCTCTCAGGTAGAGCCTCCTTTGAATGAGAAAGAGTTGACCGATTGGTTTGTGGATACGGTAAGACCTGAATTTTATGAGAAGATGATTAGCAGTGTAACGTCGAGTTTCTCCGATAGTGGCTGTGGGGGTGATAGTAGAATTCGGATTGAAGAATGAAAAAATGGCTAGTAGTTCCAGTGGTTCCAACAACAACAATGTCAAGAAGTTCAGTGGTAATTTTCATAAAAAGAAGGAGGGAGAAACAAACGCCATAACAATGGGAAAAAGAAATCAGACTTGGAAGCAGCCTTACCAACGATATCAACGGCCTCCACAAGGTTATATTCAGCAGCCTCCACAAGGTTATGTTCAGCAACCTCAGCAAAATCTGACACAACAACCGATGTATCCAGTACAATATGCTCAACAACCATATGTGGCAGCTATAACACGCGCTTTCAGCCACCCTGTTCCAAGTTATCAGACAGTGCAACCAGCACCCATGTATCAACCAGTTCAACAACAAGGGTATCAACGAGCGCCCAACGCTCCACCCTATCAGCAATATCAGCAGCCCAGGGCTCAGGCACCAAGGCAGAATTACCAAAATCAAAGACCAGCAACGAGACCTCCGTTCCCTCAGATACCAATGACTTATACAGAGTTGTACCCGGCTTTGGTGTAACAAGGGTTAGTAACAACGCGACCATTAAATACACCTTCAGACACTTCATCACCTCATTAAAATCCAAATGCTCATTGTGCCTTTCATGAAGGTGTCGTCGGCCATGACTTAGAGGGGTGTCTTGCCTTGAAACATATTGTCAGGGAGCTCATAGAGAAGAAGATTTTGTCTTTTGATGATATACCGCCTAATGTTAAAAGTAACCCATTGCCGAATCATGGAGGAGTTAATGCTATAGAAGAGGCTTCAGATGAAATGATGGTTTGTGATGTGTCAGAAATCAAGACTCCGTTGAGGTCACTTCATGAAAAACTGTTAAAAGCAGGGCTGATTAAAGGTACCCATAATGGCTGTGAAGAGTGTTCTGTTAATCTTAAGGGGTGTGGTGTGGTACAGAAAGATGTGCAAAGCCTGATCGACCATGGATTATTGCAAGTAGGTATCAAGATAAAGAAGGAGGAAGTTCCGGTGGTTGAGCCTGTTTTCAATCTACCAAAAAAGCGATAAAATCCCTGTGTTCAATATGATCAGCAAAAATGTGAAGCCTATTTTTGACAAATCTGTTGTTGATCAGCCTCGACCAGTTGTTATTCAGAAGCCGAGATCGTTTCCTTTTGAGAATACAAAGGCAGTCCCGTGGAAGTATGATATGGTTGTGTTAGACCAGAGATCTGGGAAGGTTATTTAGAATGAGAAGGTAAAGGACGACCAGGGTGATGTGATAAATATTCCAGGAACGAGCAAGATGACTCGTAGTAGTCGAATATATCAACCCAAGATAACAGTGGTCGCTCCAAAAGAGGTTACCCCTACCGTGAAGGCCAAAGACAAAGAAATGCCCATCACAGAAGGAGATGCTGAAGAATTCTTAAGGATTATCTGAAAAAGCGATTACAAGGTTGTTGATCAGCTCCATCAAACCCCCTCAAAAATATCGATTTTGTCTCTCCTGATGAATTCCCCGGCCCACAGAGAGGCTCTACAAAAGGTGTTAATGCAAGCACATGTGACGAAGGATATAACCCCTGGCCAATTTGATTCGGTGATAGCCAATATTACAGCCTGCAATACTCTGAGTTTCAGTGATGAAGAGTTGCCAAGGGGAGGATGTAATCATAATCGTGCTTTGCACGTATCTATCAAATGTCAAGAGGACATGTTGGCGCGAGTTTTGGTTGATACTGGATCTTCGTTGAATGTGTTTCCCAAAAGGTCGCTCGCAAAGTTAGCATATGCAGAGGCAGAGATGAAGCCGACGTCGTTGATTGTGAAGGCTTTTGATGGTTCGAGAAGAACGGTTGTTGGGGAAGTGGAGTTGCCAATTATGATAGGCCCTCACGTGTTCGACATCACATTTCAGGTAATGGACATTAACCTGGCTTACAACTCTTTGTTGGGACGGCCTTGGATTCACGCAGCAGGGGCAGTGACTTCCACTTTACATCAAAGGATGAAATTTGTTGTAAATGACAAACTGGTAATTGTGCATGGCAAAAAGGACTTGATGGTGAGTAATTTATCGTCATTCAGGTATATTGAGGAGGATGAGGATGCGTTGGAAACTTCATTCCAAGCGCTTGAAATAGCTAACACGGTGATGATAGAAGATACAGTGGCGAAGAGTGGTCCATCTTTTGTATCTGCTCAGAGCATCAAGTCTACATTGGAAGAAGGAACTCCTGCAAGTTGGGGAGAGGTTATTAAAGTGAAAGCAAGATTGGGACGCCAAGGGTTGGGTTACAAACCAACTCATGTCGAAGCATCAACACACGCCGAAGGACGTCCGAAGACTATCCAAGAGGTGTTCATCAGTGGAGGATTCCAAGTCAATGCCGTGGGAGAAGATTCTGAAGACGAAGACATTGAACATTTGGTATATCATGGTGAAGCTTCTTTAGGCAATTAGGAGGCTGTTGAGATTCCCGTGATCTTTCCTGTGTCGAAGTAATTTATTTGTTTTTCTTTACTTATTATTGTTTTTTATCTTTAAACCTCCATAGCCATGCCCGAGGCTATAGGATGTATTTTGTAAGGCCCTCGTGCTTTCAAGAATATTATGATTAATGAACTATTTTGTTAAATCCTTCGTTGTTTGTTTCCTTAACTGTTTTTGTTTCCATGCTTAAGGAGAAGATGACATTTTTCTAAAAAAATCATCAAAACATTTTTTCCTTGTTGCTGCATTTGTCCTTGTGTGTTTTAATAAATTAAGCCATTCCAACATGCAGTGATACCCCAAAACCCGTTGAATCCATTGACTTTGCTTTCCCTCCTGACTTTGACTCACCAATATACCAAGCCGAAGATAAGGACGAAGATTTTGAGATCCCTGATGAATTGGAAAAAATGGCATGTTACGAGCACCCAGAGTTTCAACCTCACAAGGAGCAGGTGGATGTTATTAATCTTGACACCGAAGAAGATAAGAAAGAGGTCAAGATTGGGGCAACACTTGGGGAAGAAGTCAAGCAACAATTGGTGAAGCTTTTATTAGAGTATGTGGATGTATTTTCTTG